ACGATGTCCTTTCCCCTTATAGGAACACCCCCCTTTGTAATTGTGCACTTATTTACTTGTTCACTTAGTCTCTGTGCTCCGTAACAGGCAGGGACTGGCTGGTTTTGCTTACTCATGTGTCTGCAGCACCTAGCAAGGGGACAAGCACAGAGCAGATCATTAAATGTTTGTTGAAAAAACCAACATAAGTTTAAGAAGAGGATCTGGGGAGGAGGAGACAAGAAGAAGATGAGCACCCATGGGCAGGCCTTGCTTCCAGGAGCCTTGGTGGTGGGGCCTCTGGCAGCAGGTGCAAGCAAGCCATCAGGGCCTGGTACAGAGCTGCATCGGTATACAGCCTGGCCTCTGGCTCCTTAGAGAAGGAGTCTGGTACGGTATAAAGAACAGGATCTTCACAGACAGACAGAGAGAGGTCTGCAAGCCAGCTGTGCTTTCTGCTTCTCTTGGGCAATCACTTCACTCTGAGCCTCAGTTTCCTTAGCTGTACAAAGGGATCACACCAGCTTCATAGGGCTGTGAGGACAAAGTGAGTTTATGGGTGTGACAGCGGCAAAGAAGACAGATCTGTGTCTGAATCCTGGCTCTCCTCTCCTAGCTGTGTGACCTTGAGCACAGTGCTTGACCTCATTGAGCCTGTTTCCTAATCCATGAAAGGGGCCACCCATAGTGTGTTCACTCACTCATTCAATGCATATTTATTGGTTGACAGGAGCTGGGGAAGCACTAGTGGACAAGAGGAACAAGAAAACTGCCCGCCTTTCACGAGGCTTGCCTGATAGCCAGGGATGCACAGCAGAGTAATTAAGTGAAAGACATATGATAAATAAAGTTGAGATGTGACAAGGAGCAAAGCCAGGGAGGGGGAGTTAGATGCCGCCGGGATGGGAGGGAGGGGGAAACTTTAGATAGGGTTCCAGGGAGGAAGATGCCACTGAGTAAAGTTCCTGAAGGGCATGAGAGAGCTATGGAGGCGACACAGAGTGCCAAGCCCAGAGCGTGGCACTCGGTGAGCGCTCCCTACATGTCCACTAGCCATACACCTTCCCCACCAAGCACGGCCATGGTACCCCAGCAGGCTTTATCCACAGCTGGAGGTGAGGTGGCCCTGTGTGAAGGAATCAGGACACATCATACCACTTTGGGTCCTTCAGACTCCCTGGGCCTTGTCCAACACCATGAGCTGTGGAGAGTCAGCCTTCTCGCTTCCCTATTCTGGCCATTGCATTCAACACCACAAAGTCCGTGGTAAAAAATAAGGAACCACCCAAACACCCTTCTGGAAGAAACCTCAGATTTTCCTCTGTACAACCTTTGGAAGCGTCCCTCTTTCTCTTTCTCTCCCACTGTTTACTTGAAATCGAGCACACAAACCGAAGTGTACAGAGCTGGATGAATTGACCCCAAGTGGGCACTCGTACAAATAGCACCCAGATCAAGACACGAAGTATTATTGCCTCAGTGGTCACCACTGCCCTACCTTCTCTTCCTATACCAAACATCAGTTTTGCCCCATTTTGGACCTTTTAATGGAATCATATAGTATGTACGCTCTTATGTCTTGCTACTTTAACCCAACACATATTTGAGAAGTTGATTTCTGTTGTGGAGCAGTTCATTGTATCAATATACACTATTTATTCCTTCTGTCGGTCATGGACATTTATGTTGTTTCCAGTTTGGAGCAACTGTGGATAGTGCTTTGTGAACATTCCTTTGGTGAACATAGGTTCATGTATGCTAGGCTTCAGCAGATACTCCTAATGGTTGTCCACAGTGGTTTAATAATGACATTCCTACTGGCGATGTATGGAAGTTCTAGTTACTGCCGATGCTTGCCAATGCTTGGTGCTTTTTCATTTTAGCTACTCTGGTGGGTCTGCAAATACTTCATTGTGGTTTAAGTTTGCATTTCCCTGATGACTAATGAAAAAGAGCGCTTTTTCATGTTTTGGAGAGTCTCTTCTGTGAAGTACCCGTTTGAGTATTCTGTCAATTGGTGTACTGTCTCATTCATTGTATTTATACATATTTAAAAATAAATACGTGGTTAAAAAATTAACAAGTTACAGACCCATTTCACGTCTATCTGTCCAGGGATATTCTATGTGCATGTAAACATGTATATCTCCCCGCTCTGCTTTCTCACACAAGAACACACAGTTTGACACAACAGGACCTGATTATACCTTGAAGACCAGACATTTGAATTCTTGAAAATTGGCCTCATTTTTCCCCAGTTGCACAGCGCAGGGTTCCCTTGTGTGTGTACAACATATTTTACGAATATATTCACAGGCCCACGGGATACTGCCAGTTTTTTGCTTCTACAGCATGATACCGTATGAACACAAGTGCAAAAAGCTTCATGCACGTGGGTAAGTCTATCCGGAGGGTAAATTCCTAAGGGGGATTGCTGGGTCAAAGGGCATGCACACTTACATTTTTTTGTGGTTCATGTTGCTATTTTGCTCTGCAAAGAGATGAACAAATTTACAGTTGCATCAGTTGAGTCTGTGTGCCAACACCAAGTATTACCAAACTTTCAGCTTTGCCAACCTAAGTGAAAAATGGCATCTCCTTGTACTTCAAATTTGCATTCATCTCTTTACTCTGAATGAGCCTGAGCATCTTTTCCCATGTTTGAATAGAGCGTCTGCCTTAAAAGGGCTGCTTCCTGGGATGAGTGGTAAGCTGGAAACCAGCTCCTGAAGGATAAACAGAACTAATCCTGGACATGGGATGTTTCCCATCCCTGCAAAGGGGATGGGAAATATTAGGTTTTCTGCTCCCAGGGCCTCAGTGAAATCAGGGAGAGGGTTAAACAAAACAAAACACCTCTAAGTTGAACCACACTCTTAAAACACTTCCTTCTTTTTTTTTTTTCTATTTTTTTTTAAAGATTTTATTTATTTATTTGAGAGAGCGAGAATGAGAGAGAGAGAGCACATGAGAGGGGGGAGGGTCAGAGGGAGAAGCAGACTCCCTGCTAAGCAGGGAGCCCTATGCGGGACTCGATCCCGGGACTCCAGGATCATGACCTGAGCCGAAGGCAGTCGCTTAACCAACTGAGCCACCCAGGCGCCCAACACTTCCTTCTTTCTAAGGAAGAAACCTTAGAAATGAAATGTAATCTCATATTTTAGAGATTAAAAAAAACAAAAACAAAAGCTGAGGCTTGGAGAAGGGAAATGACTTGCAGAAGGCCTTTTTAAAAAACATACCAATTCTGTTGAGAAAGAGATGAAAACCCTCGATAACAGAATTGTTTTTGTCAACCTTTGCTGTCCCTGTTAAATATTTTAATGAATGATTTTATCGTGCCATTTCCTATAGCAAGGGGTGCACTTTCAAAGTTACAAAAAACAAGCTACACCAGGATTAAGGGACATAGGCAACACAAGTGTGGGGACTCTAAGAAGAATCCACTCTTCATTTTTTGGGAAAGACTTTGAAATGGGTCAGAAAGATTGTTAGGTGTCTTTGGTGAACCAGAGGTTCTGACACACCCTTCGGGGTTATCTGGTTCCCTGGGGTCTTCTCTTTCCTTTAAGCTATTTATAACTTTACAGGTTGCAGAGAACTGATAGCAATGCAAATGATTCTTGTCTATAGATATTAGACATAAAGTCAATTTTGCCTGGTGAAAGTTCAATTGATTTGCCTCCCCTACTGCAGAAGCCAGCTCTACATCTATTAAGCAAATTCATTTTAGCATGCTTGACTGCCTAGATATATGTCTGCCTTTTGGATTTACCTCTGAACCAACTGTACGTATCATCTTACATACTTCATTAATTAGTGAGTTAAATTAAAGCCTTGATATGTGTTTGTATTTGTCTGAGATAACTTTTTTTTTTTTTTTTTAAAGACCCATTCTGGGGCTCCTGGGTGGCTTAGTCGGTTAAACATCCCACTCTTGATTTCATAATCTTAGGGTCATGAGATCGTTAAGAGTCTCTCTCTGCCCCCCATGCCCGGTCTCTCTCTCTCAAAAAATAAAAAATTTAAAAAGACCTATTGTTTTAACACTGCTCATAAAAAGGATATCCCAAATATAGGGCTACTTGCAGGCCTTGGTGTTATTCAAAGATAACCATCCTTTCTTTTAGCCAACGCAAAAAGAATTGATCACTGATTGAAGGCCTCACTCACTTTCCTCCCTCGTGGAAACAAATCCCCAAGCAAAGATAGCAGGAGACAGGAGCCTCAGAGAGAGCTGACTAAATGCATACATAGCACCACTTTGAATAAAGAGGTACAAGATACAGTAACAAGTTTAAACTTTTAAATGCACCCCTTATTTCCAAAAGTTTAGCTGGAAGCGGGCGCCTGGGTGTCTCAGCCGTTAAGCCTCTGCCTTTGGCTCAGGGCATGATCCCAACGTCCTAGATTCGAGCCCCGCGGCGGGCTCCCTGTTGAGCGGGGAAACCTGCTTCTCCCTCTCCCACTCCCCCTGCTTGTGTTCCCTCTCTTGCTGTCTCTCTGTCAAACAGATAAATAAAATCTTAAAAAAAAAAAAAGTTTCTGGAAGCAAGAACGGTAAATGGTGAGACGGTGGCTTGCAGACTGTGAGATTCTGATAGATCCCTTGGCTGTAATCACTGCTTTCGTTAATCTTACGAGTCAGCGAGTACTTAACCAGTTTGACAATAAACACTTACTGAGCACGTACTTCCCAGCCCTGCGAAAATTGTCCAAATGTTATAGGAAAGCCCAAGAAATAAAAAGCATGTGTCTACCTTCAAAGCACTTAGGACTTAGCATCTGGAAGGAATCGCTGGGATGCTCAGGGAGGGGATCAGAGGCTCAGAGGCGCACCCCAGGAATGCCCCCAGTCCGGGGCGCTTCCCCTTTTCCCCCCACTGCTGTCTGGCTTGTTTCCACTCCCGCTCCTCTATTTCCCCATTTTCGAAGTTCTCGCTCCGCACACCGTACAAGCCACACCTAAAACTGGCTCTGAGACGCCGCCGCGGGCTTCGGGCACCCGGACAGGAGCGGTCAGCCGAATTTGACAAGCAAACGGCGCAGCTTGGACTGTGCGGCAACCCGTAGCCCCCATCCTTTCTCTTCCGGACTTCAGTTTGGATGGATCCCTTTATTTTGGCGGGAGGAGCTGTCGACTAGGAGCTGCCTTCGACAAGGAACTGTTAGTCTTCGGGACTCTCGGCTCCGCGAGGATCCGGCTTGCAAGTCCCCACCAATCGCCTCGAGCTCCCTCTCCGCGGCCGGCAGCGGCGCAGCCGGAACTGCGCAAGCGCGGCGCCCCTGACCTCGTGGGGTTCACTTCCGGGGGTCGCGCCGCCCGGCTCTCCCGGCTGGGCTGTGCGCCCTCGTGTGTGCTGGGCGGCCGCCTAGCTGCGATCGGCCCGGCGGGACCCACCCGGACCGAGCCGCAGGGCCCGCTCCAGCCCGGCCATGAGCGCGGCCGCATGATGCGTCCCTGCCTCGGCCGCTGCAGTCGCCGCCGCCGCAGGCCGGGAGGAGCCGCAGCGCCGGGCGACCCCGCCCGGGCCTCGGGTGAGTGCGGCGGGCTGGGCCGGGCTAGGGCCCGGCAGGCTGCTCACGCCCCGACTCCCGGCCGCTCCCGGTCCCCGGCCTCCCTTCCCTCGGTCCCCTGCGTCCTCTCCTCCACCTGCCGCGCACCTGCGACCTTCCCGAGCTCCTCGGGGGCACCTCTGTGCCACCTTGTGCCCGCGTTTGACTTCCTTTCCAGGTGTCTCCTCGTCACTCTTTCGTTGATCTCTCGGGATCGGGCCCGAATTGCAGCCCCAGGTTTTTGCCTGACCTTGGGCATGACACCAAGCTCTCCGAGCCTTGTTTTCCCCGTCTAATAAACTAACCACGGGCTTGTTCTTAGGGCCCAAAGAGAGAGTGGCTATAAAACCCTACTGTAAGCTGTTAAGAGTGGTTTATAGGCATGTATTACGATGGGCTTCCTTGAACATCGCCCGTGGCTTCTCGAATGCTCCTGTTCTTTCCACCCTTTTAAAAAAGTTTTAACTATTCTCTTTTATTCTTTGCCCATCTTCCTGGTTATCTTCCCTTCCCCCGTCAATGGTCTCTGTGGCGAGTTGCGGGACAGGGCATCTCGGACAACCAGGTCAGCCTTCAGGGCAACGTCTGCATCTCTTCTTAGTGCTGCCAAGGTTCATCTCTCCTGAGGAGTCATTGCTGCTGGAACTAAGTCTCTCTGCTGTGATGGACAAACTTTATTAGCTTATAAATAACACATTTATGATGGTAGTTAAATAGGAGTGTAAGAACTGTTGAGGTAGCTAGCTGCCTTGTAGCCTCTTTTACTGACCATTTGTGCAGTGAGTCCACTTGGTGTTATGTACTTACTTACCGTACATGTATTTGTCTATCTTACTCTTCCTGTCTCAGATCGTCCAGAAATCTGGGTCCGCTCTTTCTTCCTAAACTCCTCACCTCACAGATGACAAGTTTAATCTTTTTGACCTTGTTTTACAACTTGTACTTACCTAAAGCCACCTTTATAAAAGTCACCTTGTTAAATTTGCTTGTTAGGAAGTCAGAACTTTGTTCACGTGAAAGGTTCTTGGGATAGTAAAAAAAAAAAAAATGGGATGGAACAGAAATGTTAAATTGCTTTTCTTGACACTCTGGAAGATAGAAGGGTTCAAGTTATTGAAGTTACTTGGGTTGTGTATTTTGGGGAGTTAGACTGGTTGGGTTCACCCTGACTTTTGAGTTTAGAAAGGGAGGAGAACAAGACTATCTGAGAGGTGGTTTCCTAAAGAATTCATTAAAAGACCATGGGAACTTTTTATGCAGATGTCTCAGCTCAAAGCAAAGGGGGTAAAGTGTGTGCGGAAGTATTCCACTACTAATTGCTCAGAGCCTGCCTTAGATTACAGTGTATAAACTGGACTGTTACAGCTGTGCTAATCCGCTATAAAAGTAGAAATCTAGAAAGGACAAGCATTAGTATGAACAGAACGGCCCTCTCAGTGAGAGAGAAAGTACTAAAAGGAACTTAGTCTTGATTTAGTCAAAAGTATGGATTGACTTCTACATACCTACTGAAACTGTTACCTGCAGGCTTGGGACTTGGTGGTGGTATTGGTAATTTGAGAAATGGGACTAGAAATAAGTTTATATATGAACTTAATGTTTGGGGTGAACTGGGAAGTAGTTTTCCTGATGATGTGGGAGCGGCCCTGCTCCACTCCATGTCGGGCAGCTCTACAAGACAATTTTCCTAAAGCAGCTTTTTGGGATTATGTTTCTTAAGAATAATGTTTAAATGATAAGAATACAGCTTATTTTATTAAAAAAAACAAACAAAGTTAAACACTAGAGCAGAGCATAAGGTCTCAACACTCATTGCATTCCCTTTTGGCCCCAAAGCCAGTGTCCACGGTCAGTATTGACAACTTCTGTGTAACCCTTCAGCTGTAGCATCTGAGAAGTGTTCAGGCCAACCGTGAGAGTCAAATCCAGAGTTTAGAGGGGACAGTCTGCAAGACCACCCTCACTTTTGACATCAGCTGCAAGTTTCGGGGTTCTCAAAACCACCCTCAGGTTTGATGGTTATTTAGAGAAGGACTCACAGAACTCCCTGAAAGCGGTTATGCTCACGTTGTGGTTTATTACAGGTAGAGGATAAAGATTAAAATCAGCCAAGTGAAGAGGCTTCTAGCAGAGTCTGAGGAAGGAGCAGAGGTGAAACTTCTGTCGTCCTCTCTCTGTGGACTCAGAATGTGTTAAATTCCTAGCACTGATATGAGACAGCGTGCACAGGAGTATTGCCAACCCAGGAAACTCATATGAGCCTCGGTGCTCAGAGTCTTTATTGGGATTCCGTTTCATAAGCGTAACTGATTCATTAATGGACCACGCTGATACTGTGTGACCCAAAGCCCCCCTCTGAGTCACATTATTGGTCTTTCTGGTTTGGCCCGTTCCCACCCTGAATCTGACTGTCGGCCAAGGCCAAAGGCCAAACCTCCTTTTGGGCAAGGTTATATATTTTTTTGTTACACAGCATCCTTCCTTTTTTCATGGTCCCTTTCTACTTAAAAATACACTCTTTTGTTGTACCACTAACGAATGACTACCTTCTAGAACATGGAGGAGACAGAGGCTACTGGGGGAGTTCTCTCAACCTTGAGTCTTTTCTAGCTAAAAATCTCTCAATATCCATCAGTCTTTTTCTTTCCTGTGCCTCTGAGGAAGAGAGAACCCCGTCATCCCATTAACTCTGTGTCTGTTCTTTGCCCTGCCTATCATGGGACAGGCGTTTAGGCATTTCCTCTCACTTTTTGCCTCTTTGATTGCTTCCCATTCACTGACCTCTGTCTACACACATGTTCTTGTCTTGCTATTCGTAGCTTTCCTTACTGCTAAGTTTTATTCCATTCGCGTAGAGCCTTGTTAGAACCCCATTGTCTAATAAAATCCAGACTCTGTGTGGGCCCAAGGTAATGCTATACGTTGGTACAGTATCTTTTAGTTTTGAAAATACTTAAGTCATCCTGGGATGTCTTGTGTGTAGTGGGGGCTTGGTAAGTGCTTGATTAATGAATCATTTGGCTGGGCAGAGAGTAAGAGTCCTCTACTTGGAGGAGAGAGCGGGAGCAGAAGCACGGAGGGGTGAAAGGGCATGGCGCGGGGACCAGCACAGGTGCCTTGTGGAACAGACTGTGGCGAGCACTGAGCCTGCAAAGGTAGGGGAGCCAGATTCGGTGGAGCCTCGAATGCCACGGGCAGGGCTAACGGGTTTGGGACCAGACCGCCTTTGTGACCCGCACTGTGATTTTGGCCATAAGTCCTGTGGCTGCACAGAGGGTGGTGATTGGACCTGGCGACCTTGAGATTAGGATTCTGCAGAGGTACCCGCCAGAGGTGAGGGTGCCTAAACTCGGTTGTGGGAAAGGTGAGCAGGGAGGGGGCAGAGCCCTAAGCAGGGAGTGTCCTTGCGCAAGTAGGAAGGGGTGAGGGGCTGTGTGTCTAGAGGGTAAAAGGTACTTAATGAATACTGGTTGCATGAGGAGTGCTCTCAGTACGTGAGAGGAGAGGCCAGCTCCCTCCCTGTGTTGCTGGTGCTTTGGAAAGGGTGCAGTTCTAGGCTCTACGTTCTGGGAGAGGGTGCAGTTTATTGGCAGCACCCTGTAAACAGGGAGCAGTCAGGATAGAGAAGCTTCCAGTGTCTCTTGAGACAGGCTTTTACAGTACCATTTCTTTGTTGAAATGTTTTGAATTCTCAGAGTTCCATAGTCCCTAATTCAATTTATTCATTACAGAATGCATTTTCTAAAACCAACTGCTCTGGGAGGTGGTGTATTTTAATGGAAGAACATGGACTTTGGAGTCAGGACAGTCCTGCATCCACCCTTTCCTGGCTGTGAGCTTGGGCAAGTTGTTACTACAGCTCTAAGGCTTCATCTACTTGTGTCTGAAATGAGCTGATACTAGCACCTTGCTTTTAGGGCAGCAGCTGGTTCTGATGTACTGATGCGTACAAAGCCCCCTGCGCAGGGAGACGGTGGTAGGGATTGGCCTTTCCTTTGCTTTACAATATCTTCGGTTGTCATTGGTTTGCATCTACGGCCAGCTATATTAGTAGCATGGCACATGTTCGTAGTGTTTTGGATTTGGTTGAGTCTGATGTTATAAAAGTTCATTTCATTTTAAACAAGGAAACCCTATTTAGGAGCATCTGGAAAGAGGCCGGGAGTCACCAGACTGATTGAGGTTCAGCTAGTCCCTGAGACAGGACACTAGAGAGGTTTGGAACCCTGGTGTTCTTTTTATTTCTGGATTTAGAATCCCTCAGGGTTCATTTACCTTCTTGGGATTTTTAGAAGAGCTGCTCCATTTGTCTTTCAGAATCAGGCTGTGGCTCCAGTACAGACATAACAGACCTCTGGCATATGGGTGAGCGTTCCCTTGAGACCACCTCATTGAGCCTGCACGCTCAGGGTGACACCCCAGAAATGGAGGCTCCCCCAGAAAACCCCTGCAAGTGGGTTTCTCTCTTCTCCCCTTCTCCCTCTCTCCCCATAACCTTCCACATTTCTCCCTGCTTTTCCCCAAGGCTCCCAGACTTCTGACTTCACCCCCTGTGCCAGATCCCACTTGACCCCCTTCCTGTTCCTGTGGGCTTCTTCAGGCGCGCTCCCTGGTTCTCTCACTTATTCATTCCACTGATGGGTGTGGAGTGTGGAGCGTCCTGGGGGTGTGTCGGGACATTGCGGGGGAACATCGTGTGGAGGCGATGAGAGCGTAGCGAGCCGGCCAGCGAGGTGGGAGGGTGAGTGAGGTCAGCATGGTCTGGGTCGGGTTGGGCTTTAGACCACAGGAAGGCCTTTGGATTTTATTCTAACTGCAGAGGCCCTCGTTGGGTGGTTTTAAGTAAGGGAGGAACGTGATCTCATTTAGATCTGTGAAAACATACTCAGCTGAATGGGGGCGGATTGTGGGCTGAGGACAGCAGTGAGAGCAGAAACCGTGCTTAGGAGGCGCCCTGCACACTGCCCAGGGCCAGGCTCATG